AGACGAGGAGCTGACACTCTGAGCAGCCCAGGGCATCTCAGACTGCATGAAATCGGAACGTCCGCTGGACATGGGTTGGGGAAATTGGTAAGAATCCCCATAGTCATCACTGTGTGGTGGGCAGGTAGTTTAGTGTGCGCGCGCGACAAAAAATGTGATTAGGGAAAAAAACCAAGGGAGGGGAGGGGGTGGGGAAGTGTTAAGGACCAGTGTTGTTGATGCGTGGCCATTTTAATGTAGGTTTGCGTGCATAAGCCAGTCCAGAAATAGCGATCAAACAAAGGGAGCAGCAATTGCACATACCAGGTAGACACGTGACAGTATAGAAACAGGGGAGAATAAAGAAAAGAGGAGACTTTAGCAAAGTTAAAAAGAAGTCGTAAGCAGAAAAGGTATTATCCACAATTACAGACTAAAATCCTCGAAGAGACCCTGCTTTGACATGCACGTGTGACATTATGTGAAAAGCCTTTATTTCACAAACTATGTCGATCTAAAAGGCAGCAGGGCTGGAGGATGTGGTTTCTGGTAGTTTGAAGTCTGCTTTAGTGCAACAACTACAACATAAATGAACAAAGACCGCCTTTAACTGAAAATTGCTGGTGTTTTGCTTTAGCTGAACCGGCTACAGGGTTAATGGCACCCGGTGCGGCCCGGCTCATGGGTGGAACACGGATCCGCTGACTGACCATGTTCAGCATGTCTTGATACGGCTTTACTTTGTGACCCAGTCGTCAAATCACCACCCGGTCGACAGTCCAACCTCTGCGAACAAGGAAAACTACTCAGTGAAAAGGCACAGCAATGTGAATTAATTTTGGGGCGAAGCAGACTTGCATGGCATCTATCGCACTCTCTCCTACCCCATGCAAGACAATGTCAAGACGACTGGAAGTGGACCGCCTGCCCGAAGGTACACATAGTGCATTGACCACGAGCTTTTATTTCTCAGAAGTGAGAATTCGTTTACTTTGCAACGAGTACTAACTGCGGGTTGTTGCAGTTTGAGTCAAACAACAGGAACCCCGAGCAAGCCACAGAGTAAATTAACAAAAGCATTTCGTTAGTCAGAAACTGAAGAAGCCTACATTTAGTGCAGTTTACGCTATTTTTTATTAATGAATATTGATAAAGGTTGCTCAACTTTGTTGGAACGGTGGAAAATCAAAGAGACTCAGGCGTTGGAGGGGAACGGCAATCGAGCATGATTGTACTCGTCTAACTCGACGTCATTAAGAGCATATCACGCTCTTGATTTTCATTACAACCCAGAAAGTCTTTACCTAGTCCGTTAAGGAGTAAACTTGTGAAATTGAAATGCCAAAAAATGATGAACTGGAGATAGTTGTTTGTAGAAACGGTGACTAGATATTTTCTAGACCGAGTGAGCACTCAGGGGTTTGGATTGTTGTGATTTGACAGCGACCGAATTAATAACCATTAGTCGAGCAGCGGCTCTTGCCTCACAGAACGCAACAACAACAACAACAACAACGGCGACTGTAAATCGTGTAAGTGGCTAGGACTGCTGCATGTCAAACGCCTGAAATGGATAAATGCCGTAACAACGGTTTGTTATGCCACCATTTTGATGATCACGCCCGCAGACCTATAAACACACACCCACACACACACATCAGATATTATCCGAAAGATATCCTCAATGACAGTTTGTTAGCACTGAATTCGCCTGCTTGATTTCTAGGGGGGTGCAAACTATCTAAGGCTACGTGCCATTTATCCACACAAAAAATGACAGGCAGGCTTACATGTACGCGTGTGCTGTGCCAGTAGCGTGCAAGATAAAATTGTTGAGTCAGTTTCAATTATTAAAAATTAAGAACGGCTCCCGTCGCTGAAGTTTTTTTCAAGTTTCAATAAGTTCGATGAAAGAATTACCAGACTCAACGCCACAATATGTAGGATTAGGCCTTGGACCCCCCGACAGAACAATTTCAAGTTCAGGATTTGGAGAATTTGATTGAATAAAAACGGGATCAGTGTATAGAAAAAACTAATCAGGAATCTAGCCCAAAAGTTAAATCATGTTATTGGCCGAAATTAACCGCGAAGGACGACTTTACAGAATGATGTGCTGGAGGTTTTAAATCAAAACACGAACAAAAGTTCCGTTGAACCAATTCGCCGCCTCACAGTTGGGTCAAATGAATTAAACAAATCGGCTAACTCCCCCCACCCCCTCCCCCATACAACTAAGTGAACCTAGTAATCGCTCTGGTGGATGGCTGGTTGCTTGCTGTTCTGTAATGGTGGATTCCATACTAGCAGTAGGTTGGGTGAGTAAAATCGACTCAAGTGTGATCAAATTCACGGCTCACGGTGAGCCTCGTAGTTCAATGGTAGAACGTTGGCTGCGCAAAAGCCTCCCCTTCTGGGTAGGTTCGCCTCTCACCGAGGCCACGAATTTTTCACAGTATCAAGCCCCTACCCCTAACGGATAGGAGTAGTGATGTGGTCATATAATGCGGAAAGGCAAGAAACCACGAGTGAGGCGTCCTCAAAAGAAAACAAGCACGGTTCTTAAAACGAACCTTTTTAGGTTAGAAAGCAAGCTAAGATTGTGTGACTCAACACGTATCAAGTACCTCAGCGTGATTCTCGGGGCAGATTTAGGAAATGCAAAAAAAGTCTGAAAATGAGGTCAACGGATGGGAGTCGCCAAGTTTTGGACAATGCAACTTCATACGGAAAAAAAAATGCAAACATAAATCGAGCAACAAAACATACTCTTCACAATTGCTGGTCTTTCGAAAAGTATAGTTGGGGCTTGTGTTGCAGAAACCGCCGTAGTGCTTGGCGTCAGCTCGTGCTTTCTCGCGTTCAGCTTGGAGAAACTCGGAGTCCTGTATGAGTTCAATAACCTCTGCAGCCTTGGCCCGCACTGAAACCATAAGAGAAATGAAGTTTTGATACGAATGC